ACTGCAGTATAATCTTGTAATTTAACTGTGAAGTATGGATCAGCCTCTGTAGCAGGAAATACACAGGTTACAGATTAACAAAAAAACAATAAAAAAAATGCCAGCTTTTGAAAACAAATGTAATGTATTGGAATGTATATTTTTTACGATGTACCACTGCACATAAATTAAACAAAGCATTTCCTAAAATGTGACTGCCCTGCATTGCATTTATAAAGTTTATATATAAAGTTCTCAGCAGAAAAATAAATCATGTTTACCTATAACCAAAAGATTAGCCGTTGTGGATACTCCTTTAGCCTCTGCTTTGATTTGGCAGGTGTCATCTAGAGTGACCTCTTTGATTTCTAATATGTGCTTCTTTCCATCAACGTGAGTAAGCACAGTTCTGCTCGGATGCAGTTTGATTTCATTTTTGTACCATGTCACTGGTACATCCTCATGACTGAGCTCAAGCTCAAACCGAGCTGTTTTGCCCTCTGTCACTGTTTGGTCCTTTAAGGGTGTAATGAACTTGAGCCTCACACCTGTAACATAAAAGTTTTAAAAACGCTGCTTATTTCTATGGAAACAGGGAAACATATCTACAGCTGCAAAAATGATATTAGAGGTTGACCGACTGATGAGCCAGAAAAAAGAAACACAAACAGAATACAGCAGAATTTTTAGCATTATATGGCAGTTGGAATCGGCTGATTAATCAGACTACATGGCCGATATAGTGAAGGCTTCACCAGTGTTGTAGTGTGGTTTATCAGCACATACAGTAGTGAACCTGAAGGACAACCAAAGGTAAACGTTCTAAATTCCTCCCAAAAAAAAAAAAAAAAAAAACTTCTGCATCAGTCACTGAAAAACTTATATCGGTCAACCTCTAATTATTATTGTTAATTATTGTATTTTTATGAACCCTGATATGGTTTCTGCCGTTTGGGTTGACTAAAACCCAAATCATTTGCAACATTATATGCAAAACTGAAAATGATAAACAGAACTGATATTTCATCCATCCACCTATCCATCCATCCTATTCAGGGGTAGCAGGGGGTAAGGAACCTATCCTGGAGGTTACAGGCACAAGCCAGGGAACAATCCAGGTCAGGGCGCCAACCCATAGTAGTGATATTTCATTAATAGAGTAAAATGTTTAACAATACATCTACATGTTTATCTGAATAAACTACATGATGATCCACAAAACTTTCAACTGACCTTCCACTGTTAGCTTGGCTGTTGACTTTTTGTCCAAGACTTCAATAGTGTATTCATCCTCATCATCGAATTCACAGTCATTGATGACCAGCATGTGCTTCTTTCCATCATCAATAATGTCATACTTTATTCCTGATGTTATGATATCTGATCCCCTCATCCACATGACCTTGGCAATATCTCTTGTGATAGTACACTCAAACTGGGCCTGTTTCTTTTCTGGTACAGAAACATCCTTCAGAGGTACAATGAAGTCCAGTTCAATTTCTGGAAAAAGACCACATTTTTTCATGTCACTTAAATTGCAAGGCCATTTGTATGTGAAAGACTACAAAATCCTGTATTTTACCTTTCACTGTGAGCCCTGCAGTTGTGATGGCATTCAGTGCTTGGAACGAGACTTCACCAGACTGATCAACTTCAAGTGTTTTTAAAGTGATAATCCTTTTCTGTCCTTCCATTTTGATATCGCATGTCTAAAGAACACAAACAAATTATATATAAGTTGTGCATCCCCATTTGTATACATACACAAACACACATGCACACACACATATATGTGATACCCAGAAAATGAATTTGAATTGAGTCTTATTCTTACAGGTGATCGTGTCAAAATTTGCCCTTTAAGCTTCCACTCTCCTGCAACATCTTCCTCAGAAATTTCAGTTTCAAAGGTAGCATTTTCCTTCTCAAAGACCTCAACACTGGAGATAGGTTTTAGGATCTCAGCTTCACGCTCTGAACAATGTGAAAACAGAATTTTGTGAGCCAAAAACATGCATGAATGAATTAATCCATTTTTTTCCTAATTTTTTTTTTGCAGGCTTCAGTTGTGTGGAAATAAAAATGGTATTCTGTTCAATACACATTCCACAAGTATGTACTGTATGTACAGACAAAAGGTTCTCAGTAAACATCTCTATACCTCCAAGAGTTAGTTTAGCTGGGTATCTGTGGCCTTCAACCTCTATAGTATATTCTCCCACATCATCGGGAGCTGCATTCTTAATCATGAGAGAGATATTCCTTCCATCCTTATTCACTTCGGTTTTATCTGTTGGCTCTTTTGAAATCTCATCATCGTCTTTGAACCACTTCCAGTTAGGTGTGTCTTTGAATAGCTCACATTTGAAGGTCGCAGTGGCCTTAGGTTTTACATGCTGGTCTCGCAAAGGTTTCATCAGCCAATCTCTGATTATTTCTGCAAAGTAACATGGATTTGTAATGAGAAGAGCACACAACATAATGTATATACCAAGTGATAATTTATATGTTTTCAGAAAGGATGAAAATGTAAGTCATTCTGTTTTGGTGATACTTACCAATAATTTTAATATCTCCTTGAGTCTTGAGATTTTCATACTCACATGAGTAAATACCAACATCTTCATTTTCTGTGTTCTGGATTGTAATAGAATGTTGCAGTCCTATGACATTAATTGCTATCTTTCCTGGAATTGGTTGAAGAGGTATACCATTTCTTTTCCAGACAACATTCCTTTCTTTGTTCAATTCACAGGTTAAATACAATGACTGTCCTTTGAGAACTGACATCTCCTCTTCCAAATTCTTTGTAAATTTTACAGGGAGTTCTATTAAAAAAAAGCCAGCCACAGTCACTGTCAATACATATTTATGAAATAAATATTTCTCTTTAAACATATTTTTTTCAACAGTAAAGTTTCCTATAAAATCTTATTTACCAAGCCCTAAATTCAAACAAGTATGAAAGTATCATCCCAGGGGATATTTTAACCCATCATTCAAAAGATCAGAGATAGTGGAATCAGATCATAATCAATTTTCCTTGAGTGTGTTATGTTGCTTAATAAAGTCTGCAGCCCAAACAGCCAAAACAAGTGGAATCATCAACAAAGAGGAGCAGGATAAAAAAAATCATCTCTATTTTTTATAACCGGTATTGAGGTCATTTAAATACCTTCAACAATGAGCTTGGCTGTGGAAGTCTTTTCTTTGTTTCCCAGCTTAGCAACACAAGTATATTCACCAGTGTCTGACAACTGGACATCAATAATGGCAAGCTTACGATCCTTGCCATCTGAGGTGAACTTGTGTTTAGGGCTTTCTCTTAAGTTGCTTCCATCCTTCATCCATGTAGTAATAGCAGTGGAGGGAGACACCTGACACTCAAATACAGCGGAGGAGCCAATCGACTCAGCTTCTTGTAGAACTATGTCTTTCAACCCGTTTACAAATTTCAAAGGGACAGCCTTAAGCTGGAATCCAAATGGTGCATCTCCTGGTGGTTTGTCACCCCCTGCACCAGTTTTCATGCCTTTCCTTTTGTCAGCATCTCCAGGGGATGGTGTTTGTCTTGCTACCAATTAAGCACAAAACACCATTAACTTCAGTTACTCAATGATACTACTGACATTCATTTAAATATGTCATAGTGGAGAGAAAATGTAAAACCCATGCAAAACAACTGGTATTTTATTTAAAAAAAACATGGTCACAGATTATTGGCAGTTTTCCACTGGCATACAGTAACTGAGCCATACCCAAGCCATTCTGTGAAGAGAGACTAGTTACAACGTGGTTCCAGCTCGATTTGGTTTTTGACTGCAGATGGTTCGGTAAAGACGTTACCAGGTTTAGAGAGCAACAGTGATGTAAAACTGAAGAGAGGTTTATTTACTGTTGACACGGTGTACATATAAATATGCATTACCAATCCATTCCGTTCAGTTGTGCTATAGTACTTTTTTTAAGTAGGTGGCTGGAAATTTTCATGGTCTGAGTTATTGGGAATGCATCAACATAATTACTAATAATGATTATAGAATTATAAAATATGCCATTTTTTTCTTCAGATAATCCATGCATATCAAAACAGAAAACCGGTTATCTCCCTTCATTTCAACCAATCAGATGATGATGACACAATCAGCTCGGTTTGGTCATGCTTTCAGCCCTGCTAGTAAGTAGAGCCATGTCAGAGCGGGTATGGCTCAGGTACTGCACTGATAATTTACAATGGAAAACCGTCAGTTCTCGGTATGGCTCGGTTCTTGGTGGCAGTGGAAAAATGCCATATGTTGGTATCAGATACATAGAGGGTTCTCCTTGCCTTACCTAATAGGCCTCTACCTTTTCCTGGTTCTTCTTTTGGTTTTCCATCTGTATTAGGTTAGAATAATTATTACCACTGGAACAAATAATATATTGCCAAATCAAATGTCATTTGTCAAATGCTATTTGACATTTGTCAAAAGATGGTAGGTTTAACATGTTGTAATGTGCACATAGAAAGACAATTATATAAAAATAAAATGATAAGGAAAAAATGATCATGCAATAATGAATCAAAGAAATGATGGAATATCATTAAGATTACCTGTTATAAAACCTTAATTGTTGTTAGGTAGTAAGATGGTAATGTTAACTTTGTTATATAGACAGAACAACAATGAAGACAGACAAACATTTATTTGAAAATAAAAAATGAAAGAAAAACAAATGGAAGTCATTCATGAGAAGAAAATGATAATTGTTATTGTCTTCGATGCAGGGTATAAAGGTGTCAGCAAAGAGGATCCACGGTCATCCTCTCACCTCGTCTGTCACCCTTCATTCCTGGAGTCTCAAGCGCACCCTCTTCAGATACTTGGGAAGTTACTTCCCAATCTTCTGAACCATAAGAACTATAACTCTCATGAGAACTGAGTTCTGATCCTAAAATTTTCCCCTCATCTTCTACCTGCTTGTCAGGCTCTTCTTTGGAAACTTCATCCTCTTGTTGGGTAGGAACACTCCTGAGCTGCACAAATTGAGGAGACAGTTCTTTCCTTTCTAGCGTCATTCCTTTCCCAAATTTTAGCCGAGTATCTTCAGGAGTCTTTTCTTCTGGTGGTGATGTTTTCTTTGGGATTGTTTTTAGAGTAACTGAATCAATGGAGTCCTTAGGAGACACTTTTTTGGGTAATGTTTTATGGGTATCTACACTGGACTTTCGCTCTACAGGTGTCAGTTCTACTGTTACTGGTTTTTCAACTTTCAGTGAAGGACTCTTTCTCAGTTCCAAGCCTACTTTTGATACCTCCACAGGCTTGAGTAATATTTCTTGTTCTCCTTCATCAGGTTCCTTTGGTAAGTGTGTGGTCATTTTTAGAGGAACATCCTTTCCACTAATTTTATCTGCTTTCAGTGGAACAGCCTTCAGTACTTCAGGTTTAGGTGCTTCTGAAAATGGCTTCAGCTCTACTTTTTCCCTTTCCTGTTCATCTATTGAAGGTGTTTTCAATTTGGTCGATAGTTTATCAAGTTCAGGTGGTTTTTCAGGTGGTTCCAAGGTACGTTTTTCTTGTTCTTTCTTGTCTTCCAGAATTTTTTCAGTCTTTCTAAAGCCAGCACCAGGTTCTTTAACTTCATCCTTTGGTGGTGTCTCAGTTCCCTTGAAATGAAAGGCTTCTTTATCTGTATCCTTTATTGGAAGTCTTAAACTAGCTGCTTCAGGTGTTTTCTCTTTGGCAACTTCTACAGATTGTTCCTTCACCTTGACTGACACTGTTTCAGTCTTTTTAGGAGCAGCAACATGTTCTTTAATTGCTTCATCCTCTTGTGACCTCTTGAGGGCTGAGGGTTCCGTGTCCTCTTCTTTTTCCTTCGCTTTGACTAACATTGCTTCAGCCTTTTCAGGAGCAATAGACTCCTTGACTACATCCACCTTTGGTGGTTTGTCAATTTTCTTGAAAGCCAAGGGTTTCTCTTCTTTGTCTTTTTCCTTGTCCATTTTAGGTTTAGCAGGTTTTTCAAATGGTTTCAAGGTCACGGTCTCTTTATCTGTATCTGTCTTTGGAAGTCTTGTCACTTTCTTCATAGTTGAACTAGGTTCTTCTGGTGTTTCCTCTTTTGCAACTTTGACAGCCTTTTCTCTCTGAGTAGCATCTGGTTCTTTAACAGCTTCATCCTTTTGTAGTCTCTTAACAGCTAAGGGTTCCTTGTCCTTTTCTTTTTCCTTCTCTTTGACTAACACTGCTTCAGCCTTTTTAGGATCAATAGGTTCCTTGACTACATCATCCTTTGGTGGTTTCTCAATTGTCTTGAAAGCCAAGGGCTCCTCTTCTTTGTCTTTCTCCTTCTCTATTTCAGGTTTAGCAGGTTTCTCAAATGGTTTCAAGGTCACAGTCTCTTTATCTGTATCCGTCTTTGGAAGTCTTGTCACTTTCTTCATAGTTGAACTAGGTTCTTCTGGTGTTTCCTCTTTTGCAACTTTGACAGCCTTTGCTCTCTGAGCAGCATCTGGTTCTTTAACTGCTTCATCCTTTTGCAGTCTCTTAACAGCTAAGGGGTCCTTGTCCTTTTCTTTTTCCTTCTCTTTGACTAACACTGCTTCAGCCTTCTTAGGAGCAATAGGTTCCTTGACTACATCATCCTTTGGTGGTTTCTCAAATTTCTTGAAAGTCAAGGGCTCTTCTTCTTTGTCTTTCTCCTTCTCTATTTCAGGTTTAGCAGGTTTCTCAAATGGTTTCAAGGTCACAGTCTCTTTATCTGTATCCATCTTTGGAAGTCTTGTCACTTTCTTCATAATTGAACTAGGTTCTTCTGGTGTTTCCTCTTTTGCAACTTTGACAGCCTTTGCTCTCTGAGCAGCATCTGGTTCTTTAACTGCTTCATCCTTTTGTAGCCTCTTAAAAGCTAAGGGGTCCTTATCCTTTTCTTTTTCCTTCTCTTTGACTAACATTGCTTCAGCCTTTTTAGGAGCAATAGGTTCCTTGACTACATCATCCTTTGGTGGTTTCTCAAATTTCTTGAAAGTCAAAGGCTCCTCTTCTTTGTCTTTCTCCTTCTCGATTTCAGGTTTAGCAGGTTTCTCAAATGGTTTCAAGGTCACAGTCTCTTTATCTGTATCTGTCTTTGGAAGTCTTGATATTTTCTTCATAGTTGAACTAGATTCTTCTGGTGCTTCCTTTGTCATAACTTTGAAAGCTTTTTCTCTCTCCGTGACTAACACTGCTTCAGCTTTTTTAGGAGCAGCAACAGGTTCTTTATCTGCTTCATCCTTTTGTGGTCTCCTGAGGACTAAAGATTCCCTGTCCTCCTCCCTTCCACCTTCTTTGACTAACACCGATTCAACCTTTTTAGAAGAAATAGGTTCCATAACTACATCATCCTTTGGCAGTCTCTCAGTTCTAATGAAAGTCAAGGGTTCCTCTTCTTTGTCTTTCTCCTTCTCAATTTCAGGTTTAGCAGGTTTCTCAAATGGTTTCAAGGTCACAGTCTCTTTATCTGTATCTGTCTTTGGAAGTCTTGATATTTTCTTCCTAGTTAACATAGGTTCTTCTGGTGTTTCCTCTTTTACAACTTTGACAGATTTCTTCAGCCCTAACCCTTCTTTTTCTCTTTCATCAGTGGGAACTTTATTTAAATGTAACTTTGATTCCACAATACCATCTGTTGTGGTAGTTTCCTTAAGCTCCTTAATCTGAACCACTTCAATAAATTCCCTTTCTTCTCTACTGTGGATTTTTACAATAGTTTTGGAGGTTTCTTCAGTTTTAGAAGTTTCTTCTTTAACTTCAAAACTCTTTGTAAATGTTATTTCCCTTGGAGATTCAGAATAGGCTATGACTTTTTCGGCATGACTTGAGGTCTTTGGAATTTCATCAGCTGGAGCTCGGGGGACTTTTCTAAGTGTGACAACTTCTTTTTCCTCTTCCTCACCCTTTGATATCCTGGTTATCTTCTTCAAGGACAGTAGTTCCATTTTTTCCTCGTCTACATAAATTTTACCTTTTAATTTAAGAAATGACGGTCATTCAATTTGTGGGTCTGGGGTAACAAAGGATTCACATTTAAACATAAACCACATGACATAACTTACAAAACACCACCTCTCACACATTCTCAGAATGCCATCAGACATTTCACCAACACAAAACATACACCAAGGACAACCACAGACAATAAACAAACCCACTGCATAAAGACAGACTTCAAACTCAAAACAGCATTCAATAGTATTGTCCAAAATTGATACTATAATCATTTATGTTTTAAGTAGCTTAGACAAGCAAAGCTTCTGCCATACCTTTTTTAAGTTCTCCTGGTGCTGTAACAGGTCCCTTGGCATCATCTAGGCCAAGAAAAAAAATGTCACCATCAAAAAAATTATATATGCTAGTTATTATACTGGGTTTCACCTTCTGGTATCCTGTTTGTGAGGCATACTTGGAAGAATGGGTAAGGGTCTACATTTCTAATCTGATTATAAATAAAAGTGGAAATGCTAGATAGAAAGGCTCATGCACAGACAGACAGAAATACAGACAGAATAACAGGCAGGCAGACAGACAAAGATAGACAAAGAAAATGGTTTTAAGAAGTAATTTAATGAAATAGAATAAGAAAAAAACATGGATGTGTTTTCATACAAACATATAAAGCTGAAACACAACAAACAACCACAAAACATAACCATATAGAAATAACAACAAACAATAAAGAAAAGGTATTTAACAGGAATGATTTAGCGGAGTTTAATGTACCTTCAGGAGGTGCAATATCTTTGACTGAAACAGGAGTGACTTCAGGTATAGTGATCTTGTCTGGTTCTGACACATTCAAGAAGACACATTGACAATATATACATGTGGACAATACATATAGATGACACTGATTAAGCAACAATGAAGAAAATATTTTATACTCACAGAAAAGAGTTACATTGTTTATGGAAGAAGGATGTATCTATATGTGTGTATGTGTATTATCTTTCAAAAATAAAGCATAAAAATATTAGCAATTTTTAAATCCAGAATATATAAGGCAAGACATTTTGAAATGGAGTTTACGTTGTTTAAAAGAGATAAGGCACAAATGTGTTATTGGTATGTCAAATGTATTTGTCTAACTGGAGGTACTGTGGGAACCACTTTTTTAAAAACTGGTCTTGGAACATCCAACTCTATCTTTGGAACTTAAAGAAAGTATAAGCTTGCTTAGAATAGTTATAAAATATGTAATATGTAAACAAATTTAAAAGAGTAAATAAAATACCATTTACAGAAATAACCTTTTCTATTTCTGTCTTGATGACAGGCATTATTTCTTCAGCTTTTGGCACTGGCTTTAGAACTTCAAAGATAGAATGGATTTTGGTTACTCGAGTCTTTAAAAATGTTTAAAAGTAGTAAATGGCTTGGATGCTAACTTAATAAGAGGGAGCAAGAAACCTTAGACAGACATGACACCTCTGACGAGGCTAAATTGTATATTTATACTTACACACATAAGTCAAGAAAGAATGGAAGAATGCTGTTGCAAATAATTAAAATACCTGGAACTTCCTTTAATTCTTTCTCCACTTGTTGGATTGTAGCTTTTGGTTTTTCTGGAACCTTTTTCACTTCTTCTGTCACTTCAACAAGATTGTACATTTACTACATTTCCATTCACAAACATCAACCAAGAAGGAATGGCAGAATGCTGTTTATTTAATTAAAGTACCTGGAACTGCCTTTAATTGTTTCTTGATTTGTGCTGTTGGTTTTTCTGGAACCTTTTTCACTTCTTCTGGCACTTCAAGAACATGATTAATCATTATTACGTATGTTCACTTGAATTTATTTTCAATATGAGATATAAGATTATTTTTAAAATGTGAAGAAAAAAGATCAAACATGGGGACCAGTCAACAAGATATATATGAACGTTTATATAAGAGCAAATGAAATTTGACGACACAAGTCAAACATAAAAACAAACAATTAGACAAAATACCTTTGGGTGGAGAAACTTTCTCAGCAAGATGATCAGGGACTGGTTTTGGTACATCAGGCACAGCTTTCTTCTCAGCTGTTGGCACTTAGAATGGAATCAAGGTTATGATTCAATAAGATATTTACACACCATTGTATCAATCCAGGGTAAAGACAAAAGACATAAACTCAGTGCAAGATTAAGTAAATGCATGCAGTAAACTAAGAACAGTTGTTCTTATACTTCATAAAGTATATTAGTTTTAAAATACGTCTGGTATTATTTCTGTACCTTTTGGAGGACCAACTGATTCAGGGGCTATTTCAGGAACAATCTTCTTTTCTTGTTCTGGCACTTTTGAGAAGAACATTGTAAGACATTTATCAAAAGGCAAAGTAATATCAGAAATAAACATTTGGTCATTCATACCGAGAACTGGCAAAAAGATATCCAGTGATTATGGTCTCACATAAAAGAAATTCAATACTGAATGACTAAATGGTCATTTTCAAAGATCATTTTTCAGAAATACCTCTTAAAGATGAAGCTTCAATCATTGCACTAAGACTTTTCTGGCCTGGTACCATTGCTTCTTGATCAGAAATCAATATTTTATCTTGACAAATTTCATCAGTTTTCTTAATTTTTTGTATACGTTGTTTCTGAAAGATCATTTCACTTGGAAGAATGTCTTCTTTATCAGATATTACTTGTTTGGGAGCCATTTCCAAAGCATGGGGGGGCATTTCTTTTTCGATAACCTTTTTAGTAGCTTCCTTATGAGCTGGTACTTCCTTCGATTTTGGTTTCTCCCCTTTTTTAATGGCAGCATGTTTAGCTTCTGGAACCATTTCTTCCACCTTGGAAATATCTGTCTCTTCTGTCTCAAGAATTTCTTTAGAAGAAACCTTTTCATCTGAGATAGCTTCTTCTTGCAAAGAAAGATCATATTTTCGCAAAGATGTTTTCTTTTCAGGGACATCCACATTTGTTGTAGACTCTTCTCTTAAACCAGGCAAAATGTCTTTAAGCAATAAGATTTTTTCTTTGTCATGTACTTCTGCTAGGACAAAAGTAGTTTCTGTGGGACAAATCTTCTCCACATGTAACACCTCTTTGCCTGTTGCAGATATTATTGTTTCAGTCTTCTTAGTAGTTTCTGTCATTTTAAGATATAGCATGTAATTAAGCAGAAGAAAGACTACCATATAGTGATATTCTCTTTTCTGAAGTCAAAACATAATTGCATTTCACACAACTACAACATGCACGTAGGTGTAGAATGTAACACTGTACACATAAGAATGTAATACTGAAAAAAGATACAATGATATAACCAGACAGACTGAAATATTAATAAGTTTTCAATAATAAGATTTCAATAAGAGAATTGTTTCCTCGAATACATTCTGTACCTTTTAGAGGAATAACTTCTGCAACTGAAACAGGAACAGCACGAGAAGGAGTCTTCTTTTCTGGTTCTCGCCCTTTCAAATACAGCATTTGATATTAAGAATTAATAATAAGAAGAGCGTTATAAAAAAACTGAAAAAAGATGGATTAGTGGAGAAGAGAAGTAGATTCTTGTTCATTCATTCTTCATTCACAATACATGTTAAACCATGAAAACACATGTTGGTTACATGGATGGTAAAAGGAAGATTTAAATTACAAATGATATCATATTCCTGTCATTACACCTTCCCATGGTTCATTTACAATATTTTGACTAATCCTTTTTTGCTCTGGTATAACCACTTTCTTTTGAAATCACTGATATTATTTAAACATAGTTTTGTAGGTCTACTTGTCTACTTCCATTTTATGCCTGACTTCTTCCAGTAATTTTTTTTAGCAGAGAAAAGTTCATACTGTTTTTTCCAGTTTTGTTAATAGAATTTTGAGTTAATGTAAAGAGACAAATATCTTGTGCTTTTGAAGGTTCCTCCTAATAACAATGGTCATCTGGTTTGTAAATACAGTTTGGCCCTCAAATGACCAATTAATTATAAAATCTTATTGTAAGTTGTTCTTAAGTGTAATATTCATAGCTTGTGGATGGCACAAAAACACGCAGAGGTGCATAGAGAAAGATACATGTGACATATGCAAAACAGATGATGTGCATTTAAAAAAGCATGTAGATGAAGAAAAAAATTTTGTTAACATTGCAAGGATGTTGTTAACACACTCGTGTCTTATACCTTTTGGAGGAGCAACTTCGGATACAGTCAACATTTCAGAAACCACTATCTTTTTTGGACCAGTTCCATTCAGATGACAATTCATTAATTTAAAGTTGGATTGGATAAAAAAATAACAATATTTGGCACAAAGAATAATCCACAAGGAATAAAAAAGAGAGATGATGCATGTTTATAAAAGATTTAAGATTAATATGTATCTTTGAACCATAAGTCATGCAAATGTCACAAGACAAAATTGGATGTGTTAATAAAATACATAATGAAATGACAGTGAATAATGTATAAGAGCCTTCCTTAATACCTTCCAAAGTTTCATCAGGAGAAAGTGAGGTTTTCCTTTGAAGTGCATTGCTTGTAAAGACAAGGGTAATCATTTTTCCCTTTGGAGAAATTCCTCTTTTAATAGTACTTTCTATACTGGCACCTCCTTCAATAGATATCTGTTGCTTAGGCATAGAAATTGCTTCTTTTTCTTCAGATATTAGTCTATCCTTCTGTTGTATATTGTCCTCCTGTTTAAAACAAGGTACTCTAGTGGTTCCTTGATTGATTCCATCCATTTTATGTGTGACTCCTCTATGCACATCAATAGTAGTACCCCACTGACTGTTTTCTTCCTTAGGACACAATTCTTCTGCTTTGGAATTAATTTCCAATTCCTGAGCCAGAGTTCCCTCTAAACTAGCAGTCTTTTTAACATCTTTTTCCAATAAAGTGTCCTTTTTATGAGGAGTCTCTCTGTAAGTATCTCCTTTAACAAATAACTCTGTCTTCTTCACAATACTTTCTTCAACTTTAGATGGTGTTGTATCTGATTTTTGCAAATTCTCATCTAAGCTAAGTTGGATTTCATCAGCTTCTTGAAGGGTGTCTTGTACTGCATCTCCTATTCCCATATTAATTTCAGCTTTGGACTGAATGTAGACAAAAGTCTTTTCCATTTCTTCATTAGGTAAAGCATCTTTTTTAAGTGCAATAATTTTAATCACACCTTTTACAGGTATATCTTGTGTCTTCACTATAGCTTTTTCAGCTTCAGATGTCAGCTTATTTAGCTTTTCTACATCCAAGTCATGCTTAGAAGATGGTTGCACGGTTTCTGTCCATTCAAATCGGTCTTCTTTTCTAATGGTATTTTTTTCATTCTTGGGTAATTTGTCTTCTTGAATGGAATCATTGTGAAATCGGGCAGACAAAATTCTATCACTAAAAACAAATTCAAAATTCCTTGATGAAATTTCTTTTTTTAAAGAACCTCCTTTAACAGCTGCTCCTGCAACAGAACTATCTTGTGACTTGGCTGTTTTTTCTTCAGCCTTTAATTGCACTGTTTTACATGACTGAGAGAACAGACCCATACTATCAATATCATTTCCCCAGAGGAATACATCAGATTTTAGTAAGCATATTTTATCTGAACATATATTCTTGAAAGACATTTCATCTCCTGAAATCGAGAAAAACTCTTTATTGGTAAATTCATCACATGGCAAATCTGAACTCCGGAAGACCTTTTGAAGGCGTAAGGTTTGTGAAGGGGGAGCTTTCTCTGTGTCTGCCTCCTTTCTTTGATTAGGAGTAGATACTGTTGCCTTTCCTTTCTTGAAAACTGCCACGTAAAAAATAACATATTTCAGAATTAACAAAGGGTACTACTGTCAGGAAAAAGTCACTTTAGCCCCCCCCACCCCCCCCCCCCAAAAAAAAAGAGCATCAGTGTACTACAAACTGATATTAAAACTAACATTTTTAGTCTTTACACAAAGAATATTTGGGCAAAAGAGATATAAGGCACACCCGAAAAACAATACTAATGTCAAATGGATGGACACTTTAATTTTAAAGCATCTTTCTAGTGTACCTTTTGCAGGAGAAACCATTTTGCTTGACACAGAGGATACTTTGGGAACCAATGCCATTTTTGTTTCAGTTCCATTCAGGAATACTAATTGAGATTTGATGATGGAGAAAGAAAAGGACAAGCAACATCACTTAACATGAAACATCCACTGGCATCGAAAGATGAAGAGATTCTGAGGGCAAGATATGGTGTTGGTCCAAAAAAATAAGCATGATAATATAGCTTAAAAATGCAATGAGATGAGTATTTATAAAGAGATAACATCCATTTTAATGAATAATAATGTGAGATGATGGGATGAAGTTTCATGTGAAGCACTTCAAATGGAATGTACGTAATACCTGTCAAAGGAACATCTGATGGCTGAAAAAGCCTTTCTTCAATTTTCACACCCTCTTTCTGTTCAGAAGACATTGTCTTGAAGGGCACTCCTAGAATTATTTCTTTCATTTTCTTTACATCCATTTTACCATCCCATGGAATGCTAATTTCTTTCTTGATATACATTACTTCTTCCTTAGAAGGAACTACAATTTTCAAAGACAGACTTTCTTCAGTTTTATAATTCTCCCTTTCCTCTTTTCGCACTGTCAGCAAGGCTTTTACAGCTGTGTGAGAATTTGATGTCTCATTTTCTTGAAGAAATGTGTCAGTTTTTTGTGGGGATACCTTCTTCTGATATATATCAATCTCCTGTCTTGAAACTGGGAACATCTTTATATTGACAAATTCTTCACCATTAGTTAGCTGCCTACTCTGAAGAGAAAGACTTCCTTTGGGGATTTCCTCCTGTTTTTGAATTATAGCACATTTTTGGGGGTCCCGGGGAACTTCCAGCACTTAAAATACAACATAAATTTCAGATTTAACAAAATGAACAATGAAAAACTGGTTGAAAAACGTTTTAGGGGACATCACAGCACATTAAGACGGATGATATGGACAAAGCTACAAAGCTACACACAAATACAAAATGTATACAGCTGAAACAAACAAAGGGTGGACATAAAAAAGGATGCTACAAGGACGAAATTTAAGAATTGTAGCCTATTGTAGACTAACCCAGGAAATCATTTGAAGATTTTTCATTGACACAATGAACTATTTGATACATATATTATAAAAGAGGAAGAAAACTAAATCTGACACCAAAGAATTTCCCAGAAGACTTTTTGATGATAATATATAAGCTAATTTAGGTATTTACAGAGAGCTCTCAAGAACAGCAAAAAAATAATAATAAAAGTCCTTGCTTTTGTTTAGTTCTTTTCTTCTCAGAAGAAAATATTTTCCTCAGAGGTATTTCAGGAGTTTCCATGCTGGGTTCTTCCAATTTACATATGTTTTCTTTATTTATATTAGTTTCAGCTTCAGGTGTGATAAAAATTACTCCTTTCTTAGGAGGTATTTCAAATAACATTAAAGGAATTTTGGCTTCAACGAGAGATTCCACTTGATGTGATGGAATTTCATTTTTAAATGTTATTTCCTTAATGGCTTCAACTTGTTTGCTAACTGGAGTTCCTAAGATTTTAGATGCTGTCGTTTGAATTTCAGGGAATCCACTCCGCTCTGTTTCAGGTGTCAGCCACCTATTAATCTCTGCCATAGGAAATACATCTGTAATACACACCTCACTGTCCTGGAATCATGTATCATGTTTTTGTGGGGACACTTTCCCCTGAGAAATAGCATTAAAAATAGGGAAAATACTTGTATTGCATAACCTTTTATCCTCATAAGTCAACTCAGTAGTGTTGTACCACTTTTGGGAAAAACTTGCGTCTCCAGGGAATTTTTCCTCCATGAGAACCAAAGTTGCCTCCAATTTTTGAATCCCAATTTGTTTTTCCTTCTTGGGAACTACTGTCACTTAAAAATACAATATATATCTGAGATATAACAAATGGTCATTGCAAAAAAATCAACCACAAAAAAATGCAAATATTAAGGAGGACAAGACACCTGTTTTTGTTGTTTCATGAGAACTTGACATAATAGCTTAACATATAGGACCAGAGTGAGTTTTAAAAACCTATTGTTTTTAACAAGACATTAAAGAAATTGACCTACTTTTGTTTAGACACTTCGATGTATAATGCAATGGAAATAAGTAGAATTGAATAGCAAGTCGATGAATTAGTAAATAAGAACATGACGCAAAATAAACATGGCTTAAGAGAATGAGAAAGATATGATGTAAAGCAAAAAATATTAAAAATATGTTATCAAGCCTTCCTACACCTCTGTTTAAGAGTGTATTCATATTAGTAAGATTAAGATATTAACTTTTTACTGAACAAGAACATCTATGTAAGAGACTAATGCTGAATATGAGCTGCAAAATTTCTTGAGTTCATTATTATGTTTAATAACTTCAGATAAAAATGCTTCAATACCTTTGTCAGGAAGAGCTTCAGTTTTTGGGACTCTTTCTTGTTTTGTTGTAAACTCTTCCTTCTTGTAAGGGAGCACTTTCTTTGGAACAGTTTCTTCAGTTTCTTGTAGGGTTTCTTTCTGCCTAGGGATTTCTTCTGTCTTCAAACTAATTTCTTCTCTTGAAGCAGGTGATACATCTTCTACAATAAGTATCTCTTTTTCCTCAAAGAATTGCTGGGCACTCTCATACACCCTTTCATGAAGATACATTTCTTCTGTGTGAGAGGTCTCCTCAATTTCATATGAGATCTCCTCCCACTTTTGAATCAGAG